GTGGGACAAAAAGGGGCGTTAACAGAATGCAGTGCAGTCGTCAAAGGCAGATATTGCAGGTCTCAGGTCATCAATATCGCATGTTGTTGAGGGTATTTCATGATGTACTGATAATGGTAAAATGACAAACATTTGGAAAATAAATATGCAAATAAAGTTATCTGAAGTGCATTGCCAAATACACTACAATTGCGTTCAACCATAAAAAAGTGCAATAAACATGTGAGCTCTCCACTTGACTGAAACCAAGAAACTTTCGCAAGGAAAATATCAATAAAACAATGCCGGGAACAAGACAACATAAACCAACAACAAAAAGAAAAACACAAAATCAAATAAAACAACTCAGTAAAGAAATACGACACTGCAGTATTACTCTACGTGCGTATCTTACCTTCAGATCCTATGTAAGCACTTATGTAGACGGGGAATAGGCTCATTAAAACAGCGGTTATACTGGAACGTGATATATTGCTAAACATCCTTCACATAATACAAGATAAGGTTTTAATATAAATGTAATTCCTCTAGATAAGAGGTCTCTCGCGTTCTTTATCATATATTCATTTTTTTAATATAAAAATCTACGAGCTTACGAGAAGAATAGTATCTTAAAAGATTTGTAGACAATATATCTAAACAGTGGAGTCGATATAGAAATAATGAACTCTGGAAAAGCACTTACAAATGACACAAGACACATACATGACCTCGGACGACATACCTACACCGACTCTCCTACACAGCTCGAGAACAAAGTCAGACTTGGAATGTGCAGGGGTTTGGAGAGCGCGACGGAGCCAGTGCCGCCCGCGCCTTCATACACGACAAACTGCTCTGTTTTTTTTTGTTTTTTTTTCTGTTCTTTTTTTCCCCTGGCTTTTTTTTCTTTATAAGGTAAGCCATATTTATTTTACTATGCCTGTTGACACACAATGATGAAATCAAGTATACAATTTTGGCCCAGTTATCGCTGACTGCAAACAGGAGTTTAGGCATAGACTCATTAAGATCAACCATGTGTTGTTCCTGTGCAAGTAAGAAACGGAAAAGCGAACAAGAGAAATGATTACAGTATAGATCAGGTTCTCTGAAATTTAAGAAACAGAATGAAGCAGTTGCCACACAATCAGAAATTATTGACTATACTGTATATGTATTCATGGAAGGCAAGGCTGGCTTACGATAGACTTGTGCGGAGTGGATGTTCTGATTACAAAATATTCCTCTTGGTGACGAAAATCGTCAAGCGGCTGAACATCCTAACTTAACTACACCCAGCCAAGCACCAAGCTCCAGTACATACTCGAGACGTGAAAGTTCAATGACTTATTTCAATGTGACACAAGAGGCACTAGATTCTCACTGTAACACCACCCATGTGTAACCCGGAACACACACAACGACACATCCATCTCCTTATCTCTCGCAAAGACGTCGCGATCTCCTCTTCATTCCTGAAGCGAGGGCTGGGGCGCTGAACTCTCTTCCCCTGACTCTTTGTCGGCTTGCGCACTCTTGCACTCTGGCGATGCCGCAGGACTAGGGGTGTCCACGGGAGTTCCGTTTCCCCCATAGGGTGTAGGAGGCAGAGATGGCAGTGAGGGAGGAGCCCCGGGAGTAAAGGGCTCCTGAGTAATATCTAAGCTGGCAGGGAAGAAGTACGTCTGCGCCCAAATATCATCCACGGGGGAGTCGGTGTCCTGGCGGATGCGGAGGGTGCATGGGAGTCCCGGGGCCTGTGCCGGCGAGTCCCCGCCCAAAAGCAGCATGCAAGGAGGGCCTTCGCTGGGTTCCAGCACCAGGGATGGGCGAGGGGTCAGAGAGGGTCGCGGCGTGTGGAAGGGCGTTCCACCTAACTGGCCACTGTCGAGGCTCCACTCCCCGCTGGTGTCGATGCGAGGATCCCCAGCAGGCGTATACTCAAGAGAGGGCCGGGGAGTGGACCAAGGAGAGCCCTCGGGCGGAGTGCGGTAAGCTGGAGAGCCGAGGGGAGAGGACTCAGCGGAGGAAAAGAGCGGAGAAGCAGCCCGAGAACGGGGCGTCCACCACAGCTTCGCAGGGCCCGGGGGCAGCGTCAGGGAATCCCGCCGATGCAGGGGGTCGCCGATGTTTACGTCCGCGTACGCGTCTCTCTGCGTGGGTTCGGAACACGCCATGACGGAGCACGCTACTGCGGATGATGGCGCCACCAGACTGTGGACGGTGGGCGTGGCCGCGCCCAGCTGGAGAGGACGGGAGTGAGAGAGGCTCCGGCCCGGAGTGCCAGAGGCCACGTGCTGAGCAAGCGAGCCGTGAGACCACCTCTTGTGTTCCAGCAGCTCTTTCCTGGGATGCTCTTCTCCGATGCTCAGCAGCGGTCGGGTCTCGCACTGCGCACATTCGTCCATCTGCGTCAGGTCTTCGCTGGTAAGTGATTTCAACTGTGCGGTAAAAACATCGTCGTTCTGCTTCCACGTCCGGTTATTTTGAGCCGAATAACTATGTGTTATGCCATTCGTTCTTCGGAAACCGTTCTGGTCTAAGGCTGTTTCTGCCAAGAGAATCTGGCTGGCAGTGTCAGGACTGGACTCGAAGGCAAGCTCCGTGACCTCAGTGAGCGAAGAAGCACTGATCCTCTGGCCCAGGTACAGCTCCCGGTGCTCGCTGCCTTCCTCCCTCAGCTGCACCTCGGGCGCCCCGTGCACTTCGCGGAAAAAGCTGGAGTCGAGGTCGGTGGTGGCGTTGATGTCCTCCAAGGAAGCCGTGAAAGGCGAC